CCCCGGGAATGCTGAGATTTTCAGGAATGGGAGCACATTTATGTCCCCATCCTCTAAGGGGGGCACAGAGCAGCAGCCTCAGCCCTGCTGGGCAGCAAAGATGTGACCATCCGTGACCAACAGGGCTAACACCAGCCACGGGGCAAGTGCCCTCCGGGTTTGGGACCAGGGGGAGGTGAATCAGACCCTGCTCCCGGGGGTGGGGGGGCCGTGTCCCACGGGCACAGTGGCTCCCACAGCTCCTGGGGCTCGTAGAAAGGAGAGAGCCTTACTTGCTTCTGCTTTCACTTTGTCCATCTCGGCCAGCAACGCCACCTCACGATCCATCAGGCTGGGGAGAGGGGGGGAAAAAATAATAAAAAAAAAGAAACAAACAAATAAAAAAAACAACCAGGAAAAGGGAAGAGATTTAGTAAGAAACAAAGAGGAGGATGAAATCTCCAGGCAAAGAGAGGGAGACGCCGGCAGATGGCGGCAGGAGCCCGCGGCACCGCGCTCCCCCATCGGCTTTTGTTCTAGGAGCCGTGTCCCCAAACCTGCCCGCGGTGTCCCCAAACCTGCCGGCGTTGTCCCCAAACCTGCCGGGGCACAGCCCGGTGTCCCCAACCCGCCAGGGACACGGTCACCTTACCCCGACACAGCCAGAGCCACCCGGGCAAGGGGGGGGACACACTGCACCCGGCTGGACTTTATCACCCAGAAAATGACGTTTTCTTTCGAAAGAGTCACTCAAAACACAGGAGGAAGGAGGGGGGGGACACAGGGTGAGGGGCAGGAGCACGATGCCAGGCATCTGGGCAGGTGCCACGTGTGGCTCTGATGCCCTCAGGAGCTTATTTAAGCCAAGAAAATCGTCCCACTGACCCAAACCCCTGGATTCTGGGGCTCTGGGAGGTGTGAACCCCCCTGCCCCCCGCCACAGGGCTGCCCCCCGAGAGCGGGGCTCCCTTCCCCACGAAGGGACACCCTCCTGCCTGTCACCACCTCACCCACATGGGCCCACGACCCAGGGTGTCTCCTAGGGTCTGGGGGTCTTCTGGCCACCCAGGGAACCCAGGGTCCTGGGGGTCTTCTGGCCACCCAGGGCGTCGTCCCCAAACCTGCCCGCAGTGTCCCCAAACCTGCCAGCGTCCTGCTGGAGCACAGCCTGGTGTCCCCAACCCGCCGGGGACACGGTCACCTTACCCCGACACAGCCGGAGCCACCCGGGGCCCAGGGGGGGACAC